CCACAAAATAGTACCATTATTTACAACTTTGTTAAAGAATGGTGTTTAAGAAAATGGAGACATTCTGTCTGACGATACCATGTCCCAGTGGTGTTTTAGAACTATTACATAAACATTGTGTGCATATTTTCCTTTATATTATTTTTCAAATAAAATACATTAGAATTAAATACATGGCATGCAGCAATCTTACAATGTTGCAATACATTTAGACGTTTGCATGGTGGAAAAATTCAGTTCAACCAAATTGATTTGTCCTGAAAGAATAAAATAGTTTGCATGGCCCGAAATTCATTCATGAGGCATTTTGATACTGATTAATTTTATTCATACAAATGATTTGGGAAAAACAATTCAGATGAACCAAAAGAACATGAGTGTATTAAATATTATGTTTATATTTTGCAGTACACTGATTGGCATTTTTTTACTTCATATGGTTCTCAGATCAAGTAACCAATAGAGGGGAAAAAAAAGCATTAGAAAAGCTATATTATTATCTATAAAGTGCCAACAAATTCCATAGCGCTATACAATGTGTGGACTAACAGACACGTAGTTATAACCAGACGAGTTGGACACACAGGAACAGAGGGATTGAGGGCCCTGCTCAATGAGCTTACATGCTAGAGGGAGTGGGGTAAAGTGACACAAAAGGTAAGGGTAGGATAGAAAAGTACATTGCTAGGATAGCACTGAGGCTTTGTCTTTTGTTTTGATGACAGTTGCAGGAGAGGAATCAGGGTGTGGGGAGAGAAAGCTGTTAATGGTTTAATTGATATGCTTTCCTGAAGAAGTACATTTTCAAAGATTTTTTGAAGGAGTGGAGACTGGGTGAAAGTTTATATGTTTCTATATTTATTAATATATATATATTTTTTTTTATTCTAAAAATCAAATGATAGAAGCTATCTCCCATTCCCACACAGAAACGGTAAGGGTAACAGCAAGCAATCTGTATCTGTGGGTCTGCCTCTCTCAATAGTTGAAGCCAAAGTGCCTGGAAGAATCCTGCCTAGAAGTATTTTCTGACTTCTTGCCTTTTTTACCCTTTTATTGGTCACTTCTCACTTGGTGTTGAAAAAATACAATGTTTAGTGGCTGTCCCTAAACCATCAATCATCTTCTTTTCCACCTCTTGTTTGGAAAGGAGATGCAGCCAACATCATTGCCTTATGTCCATCATGGAAAACCATGTTGCTAAATTTCCTTACCTTAAAAAAAAATAATAATTAAATCAGCTTCTTTTTATAGTTACATCCCCCTTCTCATATTTTATTATAAAGCGCTACGGAATCTGATGGCACTATAAAAATGGCAATAATAATAATCCACTGATTGACCCAGATTGGGCCAAATTGCAAATCAGCTGAAATCAAATACATAAGTCTATTAGTTAACTGCTATATCTGGTATTGAATAGGCTTTCAGATTATACTTAATATGTATAATGTTTCTGCACGTGTTGATATGAGTGATTGCTAGGGTAGAGGAGACAGTACTCATAATCTTCATAAAACATAGCAATTGTCAATGGTGGCAATGAATTCGATGATTTGATTTTGCCCATGGGCCGAAGTTGCCAGCCTTCTTCCTTAATAAATGCATTGCTATGTCAAAGCATAAATATCTGATTCATAGATTTCTTATAGAATGTCATGATTAAGCAGCCTAGTAGTCCAGTATTTTTTCAAGTTATACCTGTACTTCATTCTGCTTTAAAAGTGATGCCTATTTCCAAAAAACATCAAACATTCGGAACTAACTGCTAGGAAACATTACTCAAAAATATTCTTCCATTTGGTTTATGTAAAGCTGCCGCAAACTGTTTGCAGTCAGCTTGTAGACATGAATTTTGAATCATCATTTAGCATGAAACACAGTATAACAATTCTTTTTCTGGGATTCTGATCTAAACAGAAATGTTTTCATGCAACAATTTGTAAATAAATAACGCAAAAATATAACGTGATCATTGAACATTGTGTTCAGTACAGGGTAATTCTTGTAGAACTGCATTTTTATTTGTTTGGATGCAGTGCCTGTGCAGAATGCTCGAAATTCAACCTGTGTTTCAAAAAAGTATACTTTAGCCCCTGATTTCAGGATATGGTGATCTGTGCCAGTTGAGCCTAATGCATTTTTTTGTTCTTGTTTTTATTTTTTGTCTTTTCTATTTTTCTATTGTTGCTTATACTTAGAGTTGAGCGGACACCTGGATGTTCAGGTCCGGCAGGTTTGGCCGAACTTTTTTAAAAAGTCCGGGTTCGGGCTCGAACTTGACCCCGAACCTGAACCACATTGAAGTCAATGGGGACCCTAATTTTTGGCCACAAAAATCCCTTTAAGAAACTCCTTGAAAGAGCTAGAGAGCTGCAAAAGAAAGTAAAATGGGGGCGGGGCCGGACCGCCGAGCTGGACGGTCGCAGGCAAAAGAAGCTCCTGCTACACAGCACCAAATATGACAAAAAAAACCATATCTTTTGCCAAAAAGCTGACCGACAGCTACAGGGCCCAAAGCAGAAGCTGCAGTCCCCTGGAGGAGAAAACTTTGATGTCCCAACTGGGGCCTTCTTCGGCGGTGAGTGGGGCGGACGGCCGCCGCACCACTATCCTGCCTCACAGCGCCCAGCCTGGGGCTCGAACCTGGGCGGACCAGGCCCTGTCCCCCCCCCTATGGACCGCGGGGGTGATCCCGGTCCTCACCCGGAGGCATGGTAGCCGGGGCGCAGGGGCGCCGCCATCACACTTGAGGGCCCGACCGCATCACACAAGATGGCGGCTTCCACGTGCGCCGAAGTCAGCAGAAGGGAACGCATAACAGCGGAGCTCAGAACACCCAGTGAAACAAACAGGCATGGGCCCAGGGGGCCAGAGGAGTTGGCAGCTCCACTTCATCGCAGCTCACCAAGCGATTTCCTACCTGTACAAGCAACTAGCCACGAGAAAGGCGAGCAGCAGCGGAGGCCTACCGGACCTAAAGCGGCGGATGCACCAGTATGCCGGGACTCCGCTCCACACTCACGACCCTGCCGCCGAGCAAAGAGGGCCACACAGTGACACGCCAGAATATGCAACACCCACTGTTCATCTCGGAGAACACTCGCCTAAAAGGACTGTTCCATCGGGTCACGCCGACATGATGGAACAGGCATTGGCCGACCATATGTCCACTACCACCCACGAGGCACCGGACCCACCATGCCGACGGTTCCTGAAGTGTGTGCAGACTTACGAACTTTTGATCAGCCAGGGTGATATTATACCTGTAGATTGCTGCCTGGCCTTAACATGTTTAAGTTTATATACTGAGCCGTTTGAATATAGCTTACCGCATAAATCTTTTTATTTTAACACACAAAATTGCTAGCATTAATGGCACCCTAAAAATGCAGACATCGTTAACCAACCTTCACTCATGCATAACTTGCAACAGAATAGTTTTAATCCATAGTGTTAATTATGTGTTCCCCCACTCTGCCTGTACTTGTAACATGTCTCCTGTCTTCTCGGGTGAGCAACCTGGGAGTAATCCTGGATAAGCAACGCCATCACACAAAACATAGTATATGACCTAGCTACTTTCACTAGTGTCGAGCTATACTTATTATTAATCCTGGTTAGCCTAAAGAATGACCTAAATCACTAAGCATGCTTATATATATCAAAAGTTAAAATCTACATATCATAGCTTAGTATGGCAATCAACTGTTATGTACATTGAATACCACCACTGAAGCATTTCTTGTATTACTAATGTACCTATCTTGCTCTAACCAAAAAAAAAAAGTGCAGCATCTCTTGACTTCCTATGCTTATACTGTTTCCTGTGAAATATTGTAATGTACAAGTCTTTGTTCGTGCCTGAAATTAACTCTGCACTCCTAAAATAAAGAATTATAAAAAAAATTAAAAAAAAATTAAAAAAAGGAAGTAAAATGGGGGTAAGAGTAGGACAAGTGCCCTGCACACAAATGTGGATAGGGAAATCACTTAAAATAAAATACATAAAAATGAAAAATACAGCTAAACCATAAAATAGCTAAAGATAGATGGAATCTTTGATTTTAGCTTTGTAAGAACATAAATCCAAATCTAAAGCATGGCTGTCAGGAGGATCACCAGAATTATCCATTTGAGAGAGGGTTGGAGTGCAGGGTATTCTCTTTCATTGTTCAAACTGAGCTCAACTCCTGATGCATGGAGAAAAGGCCTTCACAAGTCTCTGCTGATGTGTACCTAGTTTATACTAAGTGACCCATAGGTTGCGGAGGCGGTGACCGTGGTGGTGGAGGTGAAAGCAGCGGTTGAGGAGGAGGATGAGGTAGCTAACACTGTATTTTATGTTTTGTTTTGTTTTTTAATTGTAGTAGCCCACAAAATATTGGGACATACAAATAAAGAAACATTTGTGGCCTGCGGTGCATTTCTTGCAGTCCTGATGCATGGAAAAATGCTCAACTCCTGATGCATGGAGAAAAGGACTTCACAAGCCTCTGCTGATGTGTACCTAGTTTATACTAAGTGACCCATAGGTTGCAGAGGCGGTGACCGTGGTGGTGGAGGTGGAAACAGCCGTGGAGTAGGAGGATGAGGTAGCTAACACTGTATTTTATGTTTTGTTTTGTTTTTTAATTGTAGTAGCCCACAAAATATTGGGACATACAAATAAAGAAACATTTGTGGCCTGCGGTGCATTTCTTGCAGTCCTGATGCATGGAAAAATGCTCAACTCCTGATGCATGGAGAAAAGGACTTCACAAGCCTCTGCTATTGTGTACATAGTTTATACTAAGTGACCCATAGGTTGAGGAGGCGGTGACCGTGGCGGTGGAGGAGGAGGATGAGGTAGCCAACACTGTTTTTTATATATATTTTTTTATTTTAATTGTGGTAGCCCATAGGTTACCGCCTCCGCAACCTATGGGTCACTTAGTATAAACTAGGTACACATCAGCAGAGGCTTGTGAAGGCCTTTTCTCCATGCATCAGGAGTTGAGCTCAGTTTGAACAATGAAAGTGAATACCCTGCACTCAAACCCTCTCTCAAATGGATAATTCTGGTGATCCTCCTGACAGCCATGCTTTAGATTTTGACTCTAGAGAACCTCAGGCAAATCGCACATCACCGTGGCGGCGACTTTGCATGCGGATGTCATCCATATCAACTTTCGATGCCAGTTTCTGCGCCTACCATGGTGACCACGGGGAATCAGGGTTCCATTCCGTACAGGGACCCTGAGAAATGGCTACCACATGCAAGGAAGGCAGCAAGCACAAATGACCCACTCCCGACGCAGGAAGGTAGTGAAGACAAATAACAATACAGGACTCTTTAGAGGCCCTGTAATTGTAATGAGTCCACTTGAAATCTTTTAACTCTGATCAGTTGGAGGGAAGTCTGGTGCAGAGCCACTGACCCATGCGTGCTGCAGCTGAAACTTCACTATCGCCTGCTGCTGCTCGCAAAGTCTCATGAGGCGCTGAGCGGGAAGGCCGAAGTTACGCCGGCGCAGGCTGATAACGCCAAAAAGCGCGCACAGCTGCTACAGTGAATGTCACATCCTGTTCCAAGTTGCGGATCAGTCTGGTGATGGCTTCTGGTATCAAGTACTCTTTTTACTGAAGCTGCATCAGGGTACTGGTATGTAGCCGCACAAACGCTGGTGCTCAACACCAGGGGGCGTGCGGTTACCCTGCACCAGACCCTGCTAATCCATTCCACACTGTGACTCCTAACTTCAGCATCAGGCATACTGGGTCCTGGTCGTTCCAACCGCCGCCCAGACAGTGTCTGGGTCCTGGTCACCAGACTGCACACCTCACTGTAAAACTACGAATGGATCAAATGGACTTTACAGTTTGGATTCGCTCAACTGTATTATGGATCCTTTGATCGCTACATTTATTACTTGGATAACTGTTAATTCTCGAGCTAATACATGCCGACGACCGCTAGGGGACGGCCACTCCGCTTTTTCACCCTGCTCCCTCTTATGCTGTGCTGGTGCCTCTGTGTGACCAGCGCCTCTTCCTCCAAACTGCACACGTCACTCGCATGACCTTGATTCCATGTGGGGTCTAGGACCTCATCATCCTCCACATCATCTTCCACCCACTCCTCAACCCTTCCCTCCTTGCCGGTATGCACACTGCAGAAAGCCACAGCAGTTGGCACCTGTGTTTTTCCAGCATGTAAAGTCTGCAAAGGACGTATGGAAATTGTTTTAGAATTTCCTCCAGGCAACAGTTTCCCCTATAAACTGACCTCTCAGTTTGACTTGTGAGGGTATTACCCCAGAATTACAATATTGTTGAAGTACCTCTTAGCTATTGATCACTGGTGTAAATATAGCAGCTGATTATCTAGTAGTTTCTAGTGTAGAAAGTCTCAATCTGTTTTCTATCACTTAGCTCTGTGTAACAAGTGTTGTAGGTGTGAAACAATATTACAAGTGACCGATGTAATGAATTCGAATCAAAGTTCCATTTGCAAAAAATATTCTCACCCATCTTCTGTGGGTTATTGCATTTTTAAGATGTAGACTTATTGTCTCATACTAGCCATGCACAGGTAGATTGTCTGGCACGTAGTTTTGGTGTTTGGTTTTTAACTTTGTAGTTGTGTCTTTACACAATATAGAAGTGTTTATTAATGCTTCTGTATATGAAGCGATCACAATAACACTTATTTTTCACTTTAAAAAAAAATAAAAAATCAGGCTACATAACAATTGGTAATTCACAATATGACATCTGAAAAGCACATGAAAGGATGCTGTAGGATTTAAAAAAAAAAAAAAACACTATATAAAGGTCCTGTTCACTAGAGTGTGTAGTCATGAATGTAACCAGTAAAACGTTGTTGTTTACAGCCACTGGTTGGCCCATACATATTTTAAAACTTGTTTAATTTTGTTGTAGCATGACTTGTAGATATGAAGAGCAGGCCCCAAAATGTACTATTTAGCAGATTAGCACCCAGAAAATTAGAATTTTTACAAGTGCACTGTTCTAAATTCTAAAACAATGGAAATTGTTTTAGAACTTCCTCCAGACAACAGTTTTCCATATAAACTGACCTCTCAGTTTGACTTGTGAGGGTATTGCCCCAGAATTACAATATTGTTGAAGTAACTCTTAGCTATTGATAACTGGTTTAAATATAGCAGCTTGTTATCTGGTAGTTTCTAGTGTAGAAAATATCAATCTGTTTTCTATCACTTAGATCTGTGTAACAAGTGTTGTAGGTGTGAAACAATATTACAAGTGACCGATGTAGTAAATTCAAATCAAAGTTACGATTCAATTTGATTCTCAGGTATGAACTGAACACCCCAAATATACTATTTAGCGCCCACAAAAAATTGACTTTTTAAAACTCCAATACAAGCAGCAGATTAGCAGCAAAACAATTACAATGTTTACAAGTGCGCAGTAAGCACACTATTAGACGCTTCTATTTGACGCTCAGATATGAAGAACAGGCCCCTAAAGGTACTATTTAGCAGTTTAGTAGCAAAACAATTAGAATATTTACCACTGCGCAGTAAGCACACTATTAGACGCTTCTATTTGACTCTCAGATATGATATGTACCCCACTGATGTCCTTTTTGCACCCAAAACATTTTAAATTTTAAAACTGCAATGTGACAGCAGTATTTGACGATTCTATTTGACTCTCAGATATGAAGTGCAACCCACTAATGTACTACCCCACTAATGTACTATTTAGCACCAAAATAAAAATTACTTTTTAAAACTCTGATGTAACCGTGGTATTTGAATCTTCTATTTGACTCTCAGATATGAAGTGCACCCCACCCCACTAATGTACTAGTTTGCAGAATTCTTTCCTAAGCTGTCCCTACCAGCGGCAGCATCCTCTTCCTAAACTAATAAGACCGCATGTGCGTGCCCCGCGACGCGACTCCAGCTTATATATAGAGGCTAGGTCACATGCTGCACTGGCCAATCAAAGCCATGCCATTAGTAGGCATATCTGTGATGGCTTCTAAGGGCACATGAATCAAACGCTTGTTGATTGGCTGTCCTGCAGCCTTTCAAAATGCGCCATTAAATCGATGAACACCGAACTCCAACCCGAACATACAGTAATATGTTCGTGTTCAGGTCCGGGGTCCAAAAAACATAATGTTCAGGTACGAACCCGAACTTTTCAGTTCGGGTTCGCTAAACTCTACTTATACTGAAATGTATGTAATTACAAAAAACATTTACCAGTAATATATAAAATACTCTGTGTGGAAAATCTGCAATCTGTTGTCTTTTGATTAGTCAAAAACTTAATAAACATCCTCAGTCATATCTAAAATCAAACATTAGTCCTATGATCAAAAATATTTATGGCCATACATCCTTGCAGTTAACATATTATGATGAACAGTAATAATGAACTGTCTCAGTAACATGTATTTTCACCCACATCTTTGCTCTATTGTGAATGCTGAATGTTGAATATTGAATAAATAGCTATAAATTCACACCCAATTATCTATCAGAAAGATCCGCCCATAGTGCTAATAAAAAAGGACTGATGGGAAAAAAGTTAATTGACGACTAGCAGACAGTCATTATTTTTTTTTTTCCACAGATCAATTTAGAAGTGAGCAAAAGATAAAAATGGAGCAGTAAGAAAAATTAAAAATCTATATTTATATGTTTAATAACAATATAATATATGAATATTGATATAATATTTACATTATGTACAGTAAATACTTTGCAGAACACTGATTGGACCATTTACACGCCCTTCTGCCTCGTCTGATTCATGCACAAATTACTAAAATTCTGCTGAGCCACAATAACATATGGCCAAAATTTGTGTGTTCCAAAAAAGGTTCTATTATTTATTATTATTATTATATTTGTTATCAATATTATTAAATTGTTTGGCCATGACAAATTTTATCATCTGGCTCAAGTTTAATAATAATAATAACTGTCGTTAATCATTTATATACCAAAACGGCTTTATTAAGATGGAAGTTCCTTTGATACCTATAGTGACCCTTTAGTACAAGATTTAAAAAGAAAAGTTAATCACCATTATAAAAAATTCTTGAGTTTTTAAAACTAGATTAATAATAATAAAATTTTTACAAGTTGACAACAGAATTGGCATTGCAAAAATGGCTGATATTGCCTAGCCATTAAAAAAGGCAATGTGTCGCCATTTTTGCATTGCAGCACAATAATATGTGCAATTTTTTTTTCCTTTTTGTCTTACCTGAATGTTTCCCTGAACAATATTTAGAGAATACAAACTGTCAAATTTATGTGTGAGTGTCAGAGGTCCTGAATTGAATACCGTTTTCAGGAAAAAAAGATTTGGTCAAACTGATTTTTTTCCACAAAGACTAGTAACTAGAAAATTTTGCAGGGGCCAATTCATTTCTGTATAACGTTGAGATTATGGGCCACCAGCCCAAGTGAAAAAAATCCACACTGTACTAAGAAAGCAATATCCTTGTTTGAATACCTGTGTAATGTACAGAAGAATGGTGTGAAACTACAGTCCACAGACCTTATATATTGGTGACCCAAAAGACATTTGCCAATTTGCCCCCTTTGCCAGTTCCTTATGTCACCAGAATACTAGAATCCTTGTATCTATTAAGCACCTTTGAGAATCATCTGGTACATTCTGGCAGTTTCTTGTATATTTGTATTGTTTTTAAGCTATGCTACTTTAACAGGACTTTTCTGAGGCTCAACCCTTCTTCAGGTTTTCTTTTCTCTGTCCAAAAGGGCTCTGTGAAGCAACCTCCAGGAGTAAAGAGGACATCTGTTTATATATTATATGATTTAATCGCTGCTAAATCTCGCAGCCATTACTTTATTCAAATTCTCCTTGATCCTTCTGCTGCCTTTGACACTGTTGATCATCAACAGCTTCTTCTCATTCTCCGTAATCTTGGTGTACGAGATACTGCTCTCTCCTGGTGCTCCTTCTACCTCCCACAGTGCTTTTTCAGTGTTTCTTTCTCTGCCTCTGCCTCTTCTCCCCAACCCCTCTCTATTGGTGTCCCCCTAGGTTCTGTCCTTGGTCTCCTATTGTTCATCGTCTACACTGCCTCCCTTGGTAAACTCATCAGCTCCTTTTGCTTCCATAATCATTTATATGCAGATGACACACAAATCTACCTGTCCTCTCCTGATCTCTCTCCGCCCATCTTGACTTGTATCTCTGATTGCCTCTCTGCGATTTCCAACTGGATGACTGCTCACTTCCTTAAACGCAACCTGTCCAAAACAGAATGGTGTGTTCAATAAAAACATGGCAAC